CCCCCCTCTCAGTCTCATCCCCAGTCACTACCAGCACTGCCCCCTCCCCTTAGTTTCTGGCTGAAGCAGATGCTGCCCCAGTCCTGACAAAGACGAAGGGGAGAGAAGTCTAGATTGTTAATAGCCGGAGCTGGCTCCAGGGGAAGGAGGAAGCTGGCAGGTGAGGGGAGAAGCCAGCGCCAGTCCTGTGAGCAGATGGGCACCCCTCTGGGGCTCGCATGCATCTGGCCATGCAAGGGCGACATTTCTGAACAAGCGGAGGTGCTGGGCCCGGGGCTGCTGCATCCCTGCTGGGTCCCATCGAGAAGTCTAGATTGTTAATAGCCGGAGCTGGCTCCAGGGGAAGGAGGAAGCTGGCAGGTGAGGGGAGAAGCCAGCGCCAGTCCTGTGAGCAGATGGGCACCCCTCTGGGGCTCGCATGCATCTGGCCATGCAAGGGCGACATTTCTGAACAAGCGGAGGTGCTGGGCCCGGGGCTGCTGCATCCCTGCTGGGTCCCATCCTGGGCAGGGCCCTGTTTGGTTGCAGGGCTCTCCGCGCCCCCATGATACAAGTCATTCCAGCAGGATACAGCCGTGAGGAGCAAGGCCGGCTCCCTGGCGCAAGCTGGCTCTGAGGGGAGTGGGAGGCCAGCCACAGGGCCACGTTCCTGCCACGGCAGAGGGGCTCTCTCCCTGGGAAAGGAGAGAGGGGGACAGCCGCCCCCTCTGGCTCCTACACAGAGATGCCGCTTCATTTACTCGGCTTGGAAAAGGCGGGCCCCTGAACATCCGTGCCCTTCAGGAGCCGGGCCGCCAGCTAACCAGAAAGCTGCTGACCGGCTCTTTCCTTTTGCAGTGCTGTCCTCTACAGCTCCAGAGCAGAACTACGCTGCCCCAGCACGGCCACCCCAGCGGAGCAGCTGCCAAGCCGCAGGACTCCGGGCGCCGTTGCTCAGCCTGCAGAGGCAGAGTCTAGAACGGGGCTGCTCAACCTGTGGCCTGGTTTGGGTTTACCCGGGGCTCGACCCGCGGCCGGGAGCCCACACAAAACAAGTAGACAATACAATGCACTTCCATTGCTGTAACTGCGAACACACACATTCCTGGACTGTCATTGCTTATTAAAAGTGCCGGCAGAGGAGTGGAAATCGGGTCAATGTTGCATTTTATTAATACCAGCAGAACTGACTTAAATGGGGCCTGCGTGTTGTGTCGTCTTGCCCGTTAATGTGACAAGCTATTGCACGTCTAGGCAACCACATGTAAGTTGCAGCCCTCGGCATGTGCTGCAAGTATCACCGTGGCCCCCGGGGCTTCCCAAGTCGAGTAGCCCTGCTCTAGAAGGTTCAGCCAGGGTGGCGGAGGAGAGCCGGGGGCGGCTCATGGGAGGTTTCGACGGTGTTCACTGGGTCTTACATGGAGCCCTGTTGCTGTTCATGCCGCTCCACACGATTTGAGGGGGAAGCCTTCGGTATTCTTACCCCAAGACCCTGTAGAAGAGGAGCCGTGGCCCTGGAGCACTTACCCCAAGACCCTGTGGAAGAGGAGCCGTGGCCCTGGAGCACTTACCCCAAGACCCTGTGGAAGAGGAGCCGTGGCCCTGGAGCACAGCACCTGCTTCTTTGGCCTAATCCTGGGAGGGGTGCAAGTGCTGCATTTGAAGCTCTAGCAGAAGGGCGGGATGCCTGCAGGAGTAGGTCAGCTGAGGTACTCAGCCCTTGTCCTGCCGCGGGTTTGCCTGAACCCCCTTCCCACGTATGCCTGCCAGCCCCACGCTCTGGCGAGACCGAGCAGCATGGACCAGCCGCAGGCGTGCGGCCGAGACCCAACAATGGCTAGAATTTGAAGCTGCCGAATGTAAAAAGAAAATCATCTGAGCTTAGTCGTGGGGCTTTGAATCCAGCCTGAAATTCAGGCACCTTAAAACCCCTGCTCCGTCCAGGTGCCTCACCCTCTCCCCGGCTTACGAAGGAAGCGAAATCCAGGGTGCAAAATGAAAAGCACTTTATTTTTTCTGAAGACATGAACAGAAAACAGCACAAAAACCCCCCAACACAAAACAAAACTCTTTGGTCTCTTCCGCGCCAGGCCCTAGAAGGCAAGTGGAAACGGACGTCAGATCTTAGCACGGAATCGGGGTAAAGCCCTGGAGAACTTCTGTGCTGAGGCGCTCTCCAGAGAGAAGCCGGGAGTTTGGGCCACCCCCCAAGTCCCCTGGCCCCGATTTCAGTGGGTTCAGAGCCTGCACGTGGGAGGAGCACTGGGGGAGAATTACAGTGCGAGAACCACCCTGAGTCAGGGCCTAGTGGCAGGGCCTCCCAGGTTTCCTGACAGCCAGTTACTGCGCCAGTAGCTTCCTGCCTGAAGGATTCTATTGTGTGTTATCCCCGTGGGCTGAGATCCCTGGTCCTCTCCTTGAATACCCTCCTCCAACCGGGGGCATTTACTTAGCCATTTACCCACCCAACTCCCCAAGAAGGAGCATAGAATCGTAGGACTGGAAGGAACCCTGAGGGGTCATCCAGTCCAGCCCCCTGCCCTCACGGCAGGACCAAGCACCCTCTAGAATAGATCATCCCTGATAACAGGTCTGTCTAATCTGCTCTTCCCAATCCACAACCACTCCCGGCAATTTACTCCAGTGTTTAACCACCCTGTCAATTAGGACGTTTTTCCTAATGTCCAACCTCAACCACCCTTGCTGCAGTTTAAGCCCCTGGCTTCCTGTCCTGTCCGAGGTGAAGAAGGTTTCTCTTCCCTCCTTGTGACACCCTTTTAGGTACTTGGAAAAAAAGTGACGTTCCCCCAGAATCTCCTCTTTTCCAGACTCAACAAACGTCATTTGTTTCCCCCAGTCTTGCCTCATAGCTCTAGACCTTGAATCATTTTTGTTCTTCTCTGGACCATCTCCCATTCCTCTACATCTTCCCTGAAACGTGGTGCCCAGAACTAGACAATACTCTGACTGAGACCTCATCAACACCGAGTTGAGCAGAAGAACGACTTCTCCTGGCTTGCCTACAACACTCCTGTTAAGACATCGCAGCAGGGGGCCCATTAACTCATATTTCGCTTTGTCCACTAAGCCCTCCAGAGCCCTTTCCACATTATGCCTCCGTAAGCAGTCACTCGCCAGGTTGGACAACGGATTGTTCCTTCCTAAGTGCAGGATTTTGCATTTGTCCTTACTTAAATTTCACCCTATTTACTTCAGACCACTCTTCCAGTCTGTCCTGACTGTTCTGACTCATCACCCTAGCTTCCAAAGCATTTGCATCCCTTCCCTGTTTGGTATCGTCTGCAAGATTTACATGTACTCTCCATACCATTATCTAAGTCATTGATGAAGAAACTGAACAGAACCGATCCCCTGATTCTGCCCTTGCAGCATGAATGTGAACCACTGACAACTACTCCCCGAGAACGGTTTTCCAATCCGTTATGCACTTCGCTTATACTAGCTCTATTGAGGTTGCATTTCCCTAGTTTGCGAGCAGGTCATGGGAGACTGTACCAAAAGCCTTATTCAAGTCAAGATATACCCAGTCTACCACCTCCCCCCCATAAGGTATGTTGCCCTGTCAAAGCCTGGTGCAGCCAGAATTTGCCCCACGTGCGGACACCGGAGCCTCAAGATGCTGCCCCAAATCCCTGCCTTCATGGGAACCTGGGACAGATATGGGTCGCTCCATGGCAGGGTGCGGTAGAACCAACATCTCGGTGGCCGCTGTGCGCAGCCGTCTGGTGGTTTGCATAACAGTCTTACCTCACAGAGAGCTGGCTGCAGATCAGTCTATTTCTTTGCTGCCGACTTTCTCCCTCTGACCGTTCCTCTTCCCTGCAAAGGGAACAAAGACCGGCTATTGCTAGTTCCACAGCCTGGTAGCTAGGTACCCCTCGATTTCATGGCCTCGTTCCCTAGGCCAAGACGTTACCTCAGAGCTACTCTGCTCATGGAAGCTATTCGAGCTGGACAGCAAGAGCCCATTCACGAGGACAGGCCATCCTTGCTACAAGTCCAAGATACGTTCCAAAAAAACCTTCTAGCAAAATAACATAAAGCGGGGAATTTTTTTTTCCCCACAGCTGACTTCCATTTGTGCAAATTAGGGTGTGGGGTTTTTTTTTTTGCGTGACTTAAGAGCAAGGAATAGGAGGACATATAGCACATCTGTTCCTGCAAGTATCAATGACAGTAGCGCAGAACGGATGTATACCGGGGCGACATAGTGGGCATGACCTGTATGCTGATCTAAGCCCAAGATAATTATCCATATGCCTGTTGGTTCTCTCTCCCTGTCAGGAGGGTGTTTTCATGTCTGCCTGCCCTGTTCCAGGGCTTATCAGCTAACTGGAAGCAGACAGGGGCATGTGACAGACACTCGCCAGCTGCTAGAATATTTGGTACTTGCTGACAATGAGGGGTGTAGGTCCTTCGCAAATGACTCGGCCTGAGCATGACTTGTGCTAAAAGCCAGTTTCCCTTTGAGTAATTCTGGTCAGCCAGCTCTAGACAGAGCCAAGCGGCGACAAAGCAGCAACCCATGAAATGGACACGCGAGCCCCGGGCGGAATTCAGCCACAGCCTTAAAAGCTTCAAAAGAGGTTTCTGTGCTGAAGCGGGTCCCCAGCCAGCGTTCAATGCTATTCACGGGTCTCCCGCCACCTGTCCCTGGGGCCCAGGCATCAGCGCTCGGCTTCCTACCTTGCTGAGAAAGGCGTCGTCGTCCGAAGGGGTGCTGCTGCTCGGAAGAGAAGCGCGAGGTTAGAGCCACGCCTGGGAGCTTAGGCCATAAACTCACAGAACTAGATCCTGCGCTCCTGCCGCTCGCTGGAACAATCCCGCCGCTAGCGATTAGGTTCTAAGGCGCTTAGACCTCGCTGATGGCTTTGGGCATGGGCGACGGGGTAAGGACATGCCAGTGTCAACTTCCCATAGCATCTCACAGGACAGTTATCATAGCATCACAGACCACGAGAGCAGGAAGGGACCTCGAGAGGTCAGTGAGTCCAGGCCCCTGCCCTCATGGCAGGACCCAGTAGCGTCTAGGCCATACCTGACAGATGCCTATCTAGCCTTCTCAAATATCTCCAGAGATGGAGCTTCCACAACCTCCCTACGCAGCTTATCCCAGTGTTTAACCACCCTGACAGTGAGGAAGTTTTCCCTAATGCCCAACTAAACCTCCCTTGCTGCAATTTAAGCCAATTGCCTCATGTCTCATCCTCAGAGGCCAAGAACAATTTTTCTCCTTCCGACACCCTTTTAGATACCTGAAAACCGCTATCATGTTCCCTTCTCTGTCTTCTCTTTTCCAAACAAAAGAAACCCAGACCTTTTAGTCTTCCCTCCTAGCTCGTGTTTTCTAAATCTTAGCAATTTGTTGCTCTTCTCTGGACTCTCTCCAGTTTCTCCACATCTTTCTTGAAATGCGGTGCCCAGAACTGGACACAATACTCCAGCTGAGGCCTAATCAGTGCAGAGCAGAGCAGAAGAATGACTTCTCGTGTCTTGCTCAACACTCCTGTTAATGCAGCCCAGAATCACGTTTGCTTTTTTTGCAACAGCATCACACTGTGACTCATATTTAGCTTGTGGTCCACTCTGACCCCTAGATCCCTTTCTGCTGTACTCCTTCCTAGACAGTCGCTTCCCATTCTGTGTGAGAGAAACGGATTGTTCCTTCCCAAGTGGAGCACTTTGCATTTTTCCTTATTAAACATCATCCTATTTGCCTCAGGCTATTTCTCCAGTTTGTCCAGATCGTTTTGAATTTTGACCCTCTCCTCCCAAGCACTTGCCATCCCTCCCAGCTTGGGATCATCTGCAAATTTAATAAGCGTACTCTCTATGCCGATATCTAAATCGTTGATGAAGATATCGAACTGAACTGGTCCCAAAATAGACCCTGTGGAACCCCAGCGGTGATGCCCTTCCAGCAGGATTGTGAACTGTAAATAACTACACTCAGAGAACTCTTTACCCTTTGCTCTTTACCAGAGAGTTAGGCCCGGCAGCGTCCATGCCCAGCCAAAAAGGCTGTTACATTCGGGTTGACCTGGAGGTCAGTCAATATCACTATTCCCTCCCCCCCCGGCCTATGGTATTCTAGTACTCCCCTCTTGCCACGAGCTCGTTAGCTTCCACTTCTCTGGAGGTCAATCTGACAGCATCCCCACCATCTCATGGAGGGTGCTATCCAGAGAGCCCTGCACGGATACAAAATTGGTACCCGCCTCGGCAGAAATGACCCATCGATCTTAGCAGCCACCCCTGCAGAGACGGATCCCAGTGGAGAGAAAGCAGATCGCTGCGAATTTGCAAGGTTCTAGACACAAAATGTATACCCACATCCGCAAAACGGCACCGCGGATGCAGCTACCAAGTGGGTATCTGCGATTTGCAGGGCTCGAGATTCCCAGCCACGCCCCCCGTCCCCCCGCTGATCGTACTCACTTCTCTTCCTCCTTCTCCATCTTCTTCTTCTGGGAAGAAGACGGACGCAGTTAAAGCTGACGAGCTGAGCACAAGTTCTAAGTGGCGGGAGGGGAAGGGACGTTGTCTTGTGAACCGCCCGTAATCCTCCCACATAGGAAGAACCGCATCGCTTGTCCCGATAGCAGGGAAATGGGTAAAGAGGAGCTGTAGCAGCATGAAACCTGGCCCATCCATGCAGGACTTTCCCCAACGAAGGGAGGGGTCCAAGCACCACCTAGTATATCCCAGAGAGACTTGTGACTTAGCAGCACTATGCCCGTCACTGAAATGCAGCCACCTCTGGGCTATAGCACAGCGAATAAACCTTTAGCAATATTATGCCCCAGGTTAGGGGACCCCCACGTGAGGGGCTCTGTCACTTTGATGGGCAGGAAAGAACACAGATACAAAACCACTCTCTGTTCTGGAATTTAGCTAAGGTGCTAAGTTTTCTGCAGGACTCACATGGTTTTCAGTGGCCACAAGCACTTCGGAGTCTCATGTGAGAGAGACTGCCTCCAGCAGAGACTGGTTCATTGGATGAGCCAGAGAGATCTTGCCAGGCTCAGGTGGCTAGCTCACTCTACTCTTCCACGAGTCGCTGCCGCACCGGGGGACAGACACGGTGTTTCACCAGGGAATTAGTGGTGCCACCAGGCAGGAACTGGGCCGTGCGACTGACAGCGGGAGCCCCCAGCCAGCCCGTTCGTGCGTACCTTGGCAATGTTACCCCTCTTGTTGGGTGCTGCATGCTTGATGGGTTTGGGGGGAGACTCCTCTTGCGAGGATTCTTCCTCAGCCACCTCCTCTTCCTCCTCCTCCTCCTCTTCATCCCAGGAGAGATCTGGTATCACTGCAAAGCAGAGCAGCCGTGGCTCAGAGCAGGTCACACGCCACCAGAGCAGCTAGCCACGCCGTAGCCTCTCGGGGTATGTCTACACAGCGTGGCTATTTCCGGATACCAGAAGCATAGCTGTCCTGTGGCTTGACTTAACCCGCCCGTTATTTTGAGCTATTTTCAAAGTACCAGGCGTGCTATTTCGGCTTCCCTGTAACCCTCGTTCCACAGGAGGAGACGGGATGTCTCGAAATCGGGCGTTATTTCGAAATCAGGCACTGTGTAGATGCGCCCAATTTCAAAAGAAGCTATTTCGAAATAGCATCGAGGGAAGAGACCCCCTTTGCGTAGCACACGTTGAGGATCTTACTTCGAGTTCAGGGTGCTGTGTAGACACCTCCTCGGTGACCAGCTGCGGGAGTCCCACTCCAGGGCTATGTCTACACTTGTGGCTTCTTGCGCGAGTAATATGCAAATGAGGCTAAGCGTGGAATATCGCCAAGCCTCATTTGCATACCGAATGAACCACCATTTTTTTCAGAAGAGGCTCTTGCGCAAGAAAAACCTCCTTGTGCAACGCCGTTACACCTATTGCTTTTCAGGAAGAACGGCATTGCGCGAGAGGGGTTTTCTTGCGCAAGAAGGGGCAGGGTAGACGTTCCTTCTTGCGCAAGAGCCTCTTCTGAAAAAAAATGGTGGCTCATTCGGTATGCAAATGAGGCTCGGCGATATTCCACACTTAGCCTTATTTGCATATTACTCACGCAAGAAACCGCAAGTGTAGACGTAGCCTAGGTGTGTAGATTACAGGGGTCAACTATGTGCAAGGGGGTTTCCATGTGCCAGGGGACAGGTTTGTGGTCTCTCTACCACCTCCCCACACATTGCTGGTCTCTACCGGTTAAGAGGCCTGCGGCGCCCCGGCTCGGACAGCGGGAGCTTGTGGCTTTCCTGAGCCTGGAGATGGGGGAGTCACTGAACTGCATGGAGCCTAAGGAGGTGCCGGCTCCTGGGTAGGTCTTGGAGCCCGCGGGAGCCAGAGGGCACTGCACAGACCCCAGGGCCCAGACCCCGCTCCCCCCTCGCGGTACGGGCTTACACGTCACGTGCTGTCCGGTGATGTAGACGGGGCCAGAGCCAGCTCGCAGCCGGAAGGTGACGGGCGGCGTCAACTCAACCCCCACCATGGAGGCCAGAAAGAGAAGCGTTATAGGATGGGCCTTCCCGTGGGCGGCGGGCGGAAGAGG